CGACCAGATCAGTGTCTCGAAGAGCCTGAGTGCTTGGCTCAGGCTTCTGGACCCCAAGCCCTATGCGGCTAAGGGGACATGTGGTTTAGGGCTTAGGGCTCAGAAATTGAACCCTGAACCCGAACCCGGCTATGGAACCACCCTGTTTGACATATTCGCTTGGCTCAGCCTTCTGGGCTTTCACGGCCTCCACACAAATCACAAAAAAAAACCGGCAACTGACAAACTACACATACGATATACTAGGCAAAGGCACATACTATCTTTGAAACGTCTATATGTTGTACGACGGCACTGCTTTGAGAAAGTTTTATTCAAAGGGCGAGGGGAAGGAAGGTGTTGGCAGGCCATTTCCAGGCTTAGGCATAGAATTCCGCATGACTCTAAGTGCCTCATGCCTGCGCAATTGCAGATTTCTAGTATGTCAAGCTCCGGCAAGGTTTTCGGTATCGTCAACATTCTGAATTGAAGTGCGGTTTGTAAGCATGGAGAATAACTCCTTCTGTCAGGGTAACGTGTGTACATAAAAACTGAAGGTTGGCCCGAAACCGTCAATGGGCGTTATATGAGTTATAGTCTGAACTCTTTGGAGGGGGCTTTATATAGGGTTTAGGGCTTGGGGTCTAAACTCCCTAAAGGGGGCTTATAAAGGGGTACATTATAAGGGTTTTTAAAAGGGGGCTACGAGGAGCTCCGCCCCAAAGGCTACTGGATGGGGTAAAAATTTCAGAACTTGGAATAGCCCTAAACCCTGATCCCCTATATTCTACTGCATAACTCTACAAGAATGAAGAGGAGGTTCTGCCTTCTCTGTGCTATCCTTATTTCCACTGCTGTTCTGAAAGCCAAGCCCCTGCGCCCTGCAGCCTGAACCTTCAATCCTACACCTTAAATCCGAAAGCCTAAGCCCTCAATCCACAGCCCTAAACCTTGAGCATTTAAAAAACGAAATGGTGGATTCTGAGCCTAGAACCCACACCCTAAATCCGAAACCTTGCCCTAAACCCTAAACGCAGAAATCCAAACTCTTTTTTGAGGTTTCTTGGCTGCCTTCCCCTGCAGCCCTGTGTGGTTCCAACAGACGTCGACCTTTGCAACTGGGCTCTGTTCATCCTAAACCAAACCTTGGGCCCTAAACCCGATACCCTGAACCCTAAACCCTGAACCTCTTAGCAATTCGCAGGTCCCTCTTAAAGGGATCCTGGAGATCCATAGGGGTCTCCAAAGTGCGGGGTCCCGTTTAGGGGATTATTAAGTGTTATATGGCTGTATTTGGACCCTAAAGCTCCACCCTCTTCCCCTCAAAGCGTAGGCTCTACGGTTGGGGGCTTAGGGCTTCTGCTTGAGAACTAAGAGATGCAGTAGACAGCTGCTATGTTGTAGGGTTTAGGGTTCAGGTTTATGGTTGAGGGTTTAGGGTTAGGGTTGGGTTCACGAAAACGATAAGTTACACGAGAGTCTGTGAGCCCCTACTTCCTCTGCTGAGTTATAAGAGCCAAGATAACCCTATTTTGGCTGTATTGTAGATTTGCTCCATGGTTAATCTTGCTTGGAGGGCGCGTTCCTTTTCCATTTTGAGAGATTCCTCCAGTAAGGTAGTGACTGTATCTACCTGAATCTACCTTGTTCTGCCCGCAGCTAATTCCCTCATATACAGACGCCACTCCTTTGATATCAGACGTTCCCATGGCCTGCAAGCCCTTCTAGGAACCTTCCAAGCAACAGTTAGAGTGTCTGCCTTTGAAGATACGGGGGATTGCTCGTGCACCCGCTGAACTGGTGGTTCTATCATCCCGGTTCGATTTCCTTTTCGTCTTGCGAATTGGTGGTGTCTTTTTGTGATGGGTGGTTTGGTGTGAGACAGCCATTTCTTTGGATCTATTTAGCGGGCTGCGAAATCCCTTGTAGCTCGTCCAAATTCGTCCCATCGCGTTCGCACTGCCATGCATTGTGGGCCATGCGCGGTTTTGAAGCAACAGAAGCTCTGAACCCTTCCGCTGAGAGCTTGGTGGCAACCTGACATCGGCAGTTTCCTGGCTTGCCGTTCAGGAATCTATGATAAAGCTGCTGTATTATGGTTACACATATATACATCACAAATAAGCAGGTTTCCTTTTAGTGGTGGCAGAGCTTATGCTACTCGAAGGCAACCCAAATTCCCGTGCTCATCATGCAATGCCCTATCCACTCGCGGGGCGTTGCAACAAAGCTGGTCCGCTGGTGTTGCTCGCTGGGTTTTCGCACTGTGCCATTTTCTTGTTCTGGGGCCTGTTTAGAACCCAGAGGGTCCATGTATTCAAGAATCAGGTACTTGTGGTTTAGGGAACAGTAATTCTAATACAGCTTTTGGGGAAGCATATAATTAATAGGTACTTGGACCCTTAGGGGAAGACAGCTTTTCAATGGTGTTTGGTTCTACAATAGCTCTAGAACTCTGAAGAAGGGCACCTAGAATCTATTTCCCATAGATCATATGCCTCTAGGGTCCCTAAGGGCCCCCTGTTTTGAGGAACCCACACATGGGCTTGAGGTACCACATGCGCGGGCGCCAGGACGCTGGAACGACTACAGCTGTCTATGCCCAGGCTATGCCTGGTCTAAACCCACCATAAAGGAAACCCAACCCCCCCCAAAACCCTCAAGCCTTTTCTTGCAAACCCAAAGTGCAAAACCCTAATTCACCTTAAGTGCAACCCACAACCTTCCGCCCGACACCTCAAAACCTGGCTAACGACCCTGTGAACCAGGAGCACTCCACAATTGTGCCGGTGCAGAATCATATTTACAAGAACGAGTTAGCCACAGGGAACTCTTCCTGTGACTCTGGGCCAAAGCAAAGGCTTCAGGTAGATTTCCAGCGGTTTAGGGTTGAGGGTTTAGGGCATGGATAAACCGTCTAAGAAATTCGGATGGGTTCTAACAAGTATACGTATAACCCCTTTTAAGCCACATCATATCCCCAGTTATCCCTGTCATGAACCGACTTACCAAGTTCCACTGACCTTCCAAGTATGATAGCATTCATAACCACCCTACGCCTCCAAGTAGTCACTGCCAGGCTGCATGCCGCAAAGCCCCCAAATTCAAACGTGGGCTTCCAAAATTCTAGGGTCCCATTTCTGGGAGTCCATATGATAGGACCAGGCGTGTACAAGGAGGACCCAGCAATTCTGCAAATGACTTAATGGCTTCCTAAACCCCAAAAGTATGTAAAATAAAAGCCCTAAACCCATAATAATAGCCATAAAGGCCATTATTTTACATACTTTTGGGGTCCAGGTTCTTCCATGTTGAAGCAAGAACTGGCTGGTACATCCGCCTTTGGAGGATCGAGGCCTCACCGGCGCTTGCGGGGAGTTGGGGAGTGGATGTAAGAAGTAACAGAAGGAACTATACAGGGACTACAATAAGATCCACTCGCCCAACCTTAACCCTAGAACCTAAACCCTACGCAATAGTAAGAAATGGTAGTTTCCCAAAATAGGGGACCCCAATATGGACCCCAAAATACTTTAATCCTTATTATAGGGACCCCCAAAAAGGTACCCCTAATTTTAGGAAAACTCCCAAATAGAGACTGTGGTGTACCGGGGCATCCTCGGCCTCACCTCAATCATGCTGAGGTTCAGAGAATGTAGGAACCCTTAGGGTTTAGGGTTTAGGGTATTCCATAAAGTCATCCCTGCATACCCCAGGTAGGCTTATTCACTAGACCCAACCCTACACCCTAACCCCTAAAACCTACACCTAAACCCGAACCCTAAACCTCGCACCCTAAAACCTACTTGAATCCCAAACTCTCAAGCCTGGTCCTGAACCCCAAACGCAAATCCCCAAACCTGATACCCCAATTCCTAGACCAAACCGAACGCATAAAACCTGCAGCCTAAACCCTAAGCCCTGAACCCTAAACCCCAAACCCTAAACCCCAAACCCCAAACCCTAAACCCTAAACCCAAAGCTTAGGGCCTTTGGAGTGGTCCCAGGAATCCTTTCACATGGATGAGGTACTAAACCAGCAGGGGTGGGACGCAGGCCCGAGAGCGACGGGGTCTAGGGTTTAGGGTTTAAGAAGGTTTTATGGTTCAAGGCAGCGGTCTGAGTAGGGGTCTTGGGGGGCTAGGTTTCAGTTTTTGGGGTTGAGATCTAGAGATGCAAAGGAATGTGCATAATGTAGGATCCTTAAACAATTCGTCCCGTCCCTCTGCTAATGAAGCCCCCCCCAATCCCGTACTGTTAGATATTCTGCACGCGGCGTGTATATATGTATGTATGTATCGGGAATATTTCCTGTATGGTGGTGTGAGTGTGGGTTTCACATTTGGCAAACTGGACCACCGACATTTTGAGTTTAGCGGGTTCGTTGTCCAGGGGCCAGGGATATTGTTCCAATGATGGACATTAAAACTGACGAGGACATGGAAATTGCGACTCTGTCGGGGCTTGTAAGTACAGGGTACTCAGGGTACCTCAGAAAGATCTCAAATTTACGTCTGTTGCTAAATGGGCACCCTACCATAACCCATGCCCCTAAATCGCAAAAAACTGAACCCTAAGCCCACTAAGACTAGTGCCTCTTTCGGGGTGTAGTATATCACAAGACGGACATTCTGTTACTTGGTTGAACCACTCAGAAACCTAAACATGTACATGTCATGGCCTGGCATAGGGTTTGCAGTCGTGAGTTTTTAGTGGGGTTTAGGCTTGAGGTTTAGGGTTTAGGGCCTTGACAGGTGTCTATTGGGTTCGAGTTTTTGGAGGGTCTGGGTTTAGGGTCTAGGGGCTTGGGCCTTGAGAGGCTAGGGCCCAGGTATGTGAGCGTTCCTGAAAAGGTCCCCTACTTGCTCTCCATATTAGGAATGCACGCATTTGGGGCAACAGCCTGGGGAATTTCCGATTCTTTCAGCTCCTCATTTGACTCGGAACCTTAGATGTTTGGCAAAACACTCCCTTCAGACCAGTATCCTTAACCGAACCCGAAACAATAAACCGGCCGTGAGGCAGATATCCTTGGCGTCTCGTGATGCGTGGTAGAGGCAGCCCTGCCAGTAAAGTTCCTTTGCGGCATCTGTTTTCAATGGTCACAACCTTTTAGGCCTTGGTTTTTGTTGCCATGACGGCAAAGGCAGTCAAGGTATTGTTTGGGACAGCATTTGCCCAGCAGAAAGTCTGGGCGCATCAGCACCCAGAAAACTGCAGTGAGTCCAAGTTCTTGGTGTACTACCACTCGCGTGCAGGCATTGGTTCGCAACTTCATCTGCTGGGACAGGCTCTTGCTTTAGCAATGCATATGGGCCGAGTTCTCGCGCTACCTCTCTCTGACCCGCCCATTGGCCAGCTGAGAGGGCATTGTTCCCCGTTTGCTTGCTCCTGCATATATGGGTTGGGTTAGGCTCCCCCTCTGCAATAGTCGCATCAAAAGAATATATAGGGACCCTAGTATTATCCTTAGTGGTCTCTAAAAGTGGGGGGGGCCTAACCAAAAACATGTGATGTACGTTCTTTTAGTAGGGTCTGCAGAAGTCCCTTCTAGTATCCCCAAGGCCCCACCCTAAACCCTAAACCCTAAACCATCCATTTTTGTTTGCCATGGTCAACTGGTTTTTGTCAGGTCTATGACTCTGATCGACCATACTTTCTGCCCAGACTCGCGCGGCTTCCAATGCTGGCTAGAGAATATTACATCCTGCACTGCTGGAGGAGATGTTTTGACCATAAGGGGAATTCCGGAAGTCGCAAGATTCACTAGAAAGGCAGTTCCTGAGGTGTTTCGGAAGATGTTGCTACAGTGCTCCCCCATCAAGCGGAGGTTTTGGTTCTACTGGTGGCGAGCCCAATCTGTGACGTACCTGGTCCGTTTCAATGCCCGAACCCGCAAAGCTGTGGACAAGATGAGGTCAGAGTCACTGTTTGCGTGCGATACGAAAGTTACATCGTCGGAGACTCTTGCCCAAGGGACCATCTCTGTACATGTCCGGCATGGAAGGAAGGCTACTGAAGCTGATGTATTCGAGTTTTTGAAATATTTGGAAGAAATGGAGTCGTTGGCCGCAGACAGCACAGCGCTTCGAGTCCTATACCCAGAGGTCGCAGAGAGCAATACCACCTTCTCTTACCCAGCCAATACATACACTGCAAGAAAAGTATTTCTCTCTACGGAGGATCAACAGGTGGTTGATGAGGCCCTTCGCCTCTGCGGGGGAAAGCCGCGATGGGAGGTCATTTATACCAGGGTGAGGCGGAGCAACGATGATGCCTGGGTGCATGCAAAAAAGCCAGAAGATGCTCGATACGAAGTGCTCAACGCCTTCATGAACTTAGAACTTGCTCTGGAAGCAGACGCATGGGTATGTACCTTGTCATCCAACTGGTGTCGTCTCATCGATGAACTCCGGATGACTATCGGCAGGAAAGCATCGCATCCATACCTGAGCTTGTCATTTGCTGATTTTCAGCAGTGAGTGAAAGACCTAGTCTTTCTAGCAGCCTGTATGACCCCCCATGATTTGTGTAGTAGTTTCCTTGTTTGTTGCAAACCCTAAACCCCATTCCTTCGTTCCATATGAACCACCACTTACTAACTACTTACATCCCCCTAAATGGGCTTATAGGTGTTACCCCAATTATAAGTAGGCTTAGAACCCCAGTTATATGATTATATGTAGCTACTAAGTCCCAAGGGGCTCCACCAGTAAGGTCAAGAGGCATGAAAGCACCCTGCCCGGCTGGTCGGCCGGAGTGCTACCTCAGCACCTGATGAAAAAGCCAAGGATGTTCGGGAGCCCGAAGTTTGTTGCAAATATGTCTGTGGGGGGTAAAAAAACCGCAGAAAAGGAAGATGCTGGGAGCGAGGATAGTGCTTCTGGTATGTGGAGTTCTGAGCTTCTAGGTTTATATCGTGAAAGGGTACAGAGGAATTTTGCAAACAGGAGCGAGGTTTTTTGAACCCAAACTGCCAAAACTAGCGTGGGCTTGTCTTACAGTGAGTGTAGTCTTCATGTGGTCCCTTTTGGGGTTCCATTTTAGATGGGGGGAGCATGTGCTCTAAACCCTGCCCAAAATCCAAAACTTTTGAGGTTCCAGAGTAGTTTGCAGGAACACAGGCCCTAATCCCTAGACCCAGTACATCCGCACATTGCTTTTCTAGACCCCTATATACCCGCCGCTATCAAGCCCCTCTCAAGGAATTAGACCCGAAGAGAACCACCCTATAAAGTTCCCTGAACCCTTGAACCTTAATCCCTAAACCCTACACCCTGTTAGCTTTGAGGGAAACCTGTTGCTCTTGCCGAGGCATGTTCGACCTCTCGCAGTGTCAAAGAGTCGCGGGCCCAGAGATGTTCCAGCAAGAAAATGAGGGCGCTTTGAAGGTATTGGGGCAATGTAGCGGGTTTGGAGTTTTTTAGAGTTTAGAGGGGTTTTACGATACGCAGTTAGTAATTAGCGATGAGGGTTTGGGTTTGGAGCTTCTCAAGACAAGGCGTGCTTGGTGGCTACGTATATATCGGGCTTTGTAAAGGATTGTATGAGTCGGGCCCTTTTCAGGATAATGGATGTTGCTAATGATGCTTGTCTGCAGGAATTGACTTGGGAGGATTTAGGGTTTTTGGGTAGGAGTTGGGGTCTAGGATTTAAAAATTAAGGTTGGGGTTGGAGTTTTAGGGTTTAGGCTCTAGCGTTGTGGGTAGGTGGACATTCGAGACCCTTCGTGCATCACCTCGCTGGTGTTGAGCGGGGAAGGAAGGAATCCATTTTCTCATATACCTGTAGATACCACCTCTTTTTTTCATCTTAGGGTCATGAAGACTATAAGAGATGAGTTGGCTTTTAGTTCTTGAAGGCCGTTCTCATGTTCTTGTATTCTTCTGTTGCATGTTTCGGCTTCTCCTCGGGGAATAATTTACCCTAAACCCTAAACCCTAAACCCTAAACCCTCAAGTTTTGAATCATGGTCTTGGAAAAACTTTCACCTCCCAGACCATTTGTGCTACAGCCTAAACTCCTTAAAGGGGGGATATATAGGGGACTACTATAGGGGTTATTAAGGGGGATACTAGGAGTTTAGACAGTAGACCATTTAGGTTTCAGGATTTAGGGTTTAGGGTAGTAGATTCCATTGTCCTATACAACCCTATATGACCCTATAGAACCTCATGTAACCCCAATAAAACCCAAACGCATTCCCATGTTCCTTACTAACATCCTTTTGACTTCAGGGCTTGCTGCTCTTTTGGGTTTCAGAGCTTCCTTTCCCTGCCGCAGTTTAGTGTTGGGGTTTAGGGGTTTAGGGTTTGCGGTTTAGGGTTTAGCGGTTTAGGGGGTACAGGTTTATGATTTAAGGGTTTAGGGGTTTAGGGTGCGCAAGCGCCAAGAGTAGTTCCCATCCTCGACGCTCTGCGAGTGTTGGAAAAGTTCATACCAGGATCTTAGGTCAAGTTATCATTGTGGGAACCCCGCATGGAACCCTAAACCCTAAGCTTTATCATTTCCTACGGGTCACCGCTATGGAAGCTTAATTAGTCTAAGCTCTTTAACACCAACTCAGATTCATGAAATCAGCGGAACACGCCTTCAGGGCCTTAGGGCATTGGCGACAGCGTAAATTGGGTTCAAAGCCAGGGCATATGCCCTAAACCCTAAACCCTAAACCCTAAATTTTGCCACAAGGAAGCCAGCATCCTTTTTATTACCTTTAGGACCCCCGCGGGTAGTTTCCGAAAAGTTTCCGATTGGGTTTTAGGGTCTGGGGTTTCAATAGGAGGCCGTAGGCCCTCAACCCCCCTACGCCCCATGCAGCCCGGCCCTACGCCCCATGCAGCCCCCTAAACCTACCCATAAGGGAGTGTCCCGGAACTCCATGAGGCATGCGAAGACATGCTAAGACGGGTTCTAGGTGCCAGGATGGGCGAGGGTTTATTGAGATATCTGAACAACTCAAAGGCACCTGAAACCTGAACCCGTGAATCTGTAGTTCAATTCAAAACCCCATACACCTTAGGTGGACCCCCCACCCTGTAATAGTGACTAGAAGGGATAATAAGGATTGTATTAGGGTTCTCTTATATTCCTATTATAGCACTATTACAGGGTGGGGGGTCCTCCTAACATAAATCATAACAGTTGTCTGACATGGGGCGTTTTGCATTAGATGTTGGCCCCTTTCTAGAACCCCGGAAAGGAATGAACATTCGGAGGGCTGCCAGCAAAGGACCCTAGACACCAAACCCTCGAAGTTTCGAAGACCTCCATGTGAGCCAGGTCATGCCTGGAGATTCATGTGAGATCTTTTGTGTCAGCCGGCTCGGTCTTCGTTGGGTTTAGGGTTGGGTGATGTAGTTTAAAGGGCGTAGGGTTTAGGGCCCACGGATTAAGATTTGGGAGTTTCTCGAAATAATCCCTGTATATGCCAAGAATAAAGGCCCCCATACTCCCATCACCGTCCCTCTAGAAGTATGGAATCATGTAACCTTTAGGGGGATTAAGATCTAGGGTCTCGGGTGCCTAGGGGCCCCTTGTTTTGAGGAACTCCCATTTTGAGCTTTCCAGTCTACGGGATGCCAGCACATGGATCTCATGCAAGCTGCGCTTCGCGTTTAGTGTTTGAGGTTTAGGGCTTAGGGATTTGAAATTCAAAGTGCCTAGACCCCTATACCCTAGAGCTTGTTAGGGAACTTTCGTATATGGAGGATACCAGACTTAAAGTTTGGTGTCCTGAAAAAGGGGTATGGTGTGGGTCTGGGTACCCTTTATGTTTCGAAATCTAGCGACGGAAGTTTGCCTAAACCCTAAACCCTAAACCAAGCATCAGTACAACAGAACATGTAGGGATCGCAGGGCAGGCAACTAGCTGAAGATATGTTTGTAGAGGTTGGGAAGGGAACAACTCTACACCCTAAACGCTAAACCCATAGGAGCTATAGTCTAAACTCCTTAAATGGGGGTTATATAGGGGATTATATATGGGACTACTATAGGGGTTATTAAGGGGGATACTAGGAGTTTAGACTATAGCTCATAGGGTTTAGGGAGTTCGGGGGATTAGGGTTCTGAGCTTCGGGCCCTAAACCCTAAACCCTAGGGTTCCCGCCTCGGCCCTCCAACTCCCACTACCTGGACCCCAAAAGTATGTAAAATAATGGCCTTTATGGCTATTATTATGGGTTTAGGGCTATTATTTTACAACTTTTGGGGTTTAGGTAACACTTCCTCCTGGGACAAGTTGGAAAGGAATCGTCCTTGCGATGTCGACTGCTAACCTAGACCGCTTTAATTCACGGGGTTTAGGGTTTAGGGTTCAGGATTCGAGTGGACTTGAGAAAACACATGAAGTGATGGCCAGTAATAGAGCTTTTGGGATTGGACGAGGGCTTCTCCCGACTCAAGACTTTTAAGCACAAGCACGGTTCAGGGCTTTTCAGAACATGATATGTTACTCTAGTAAGGGCGAATCAAACTGAAAAGAACATGGAGAAGTACATGGAGACTGAGACTAGACCCTAAACCCTGAACCCGGGGAAACCCAAAACCCCACACCCTAAACTTTTCAGATGTGTTGGACAAAGTTCAATTTGAGGTCTAGGGTTTAGGGTCTAGTGCATGGCGCATCAGGAATGCAAAGCGATCATCGAGAGATTCAAGTGAGTATATAGTACTTTGGGGGGATACTATAGCCCCGCATATAGAGTCAGATCATATTCTCCGTCAGGTGTATAGTCTTTTGCAAGAAGAATAGAAAGCTTACTTAGTTCAATCGCTCAATAGCACTGCTCGACTAGTGGGGCATCAAGAGATCAAACCAGTGTGAATCACATTCCTTGCAGCTGCGACTTCAACTGAAGCTCTCAACAACTGCGCCTTGCAACCTGGACTCGAATAAAGTATGCAGACCCTCGTACTGGAGTGTCAGTGAATTGGGTGAGAATACCTTCGCTCCCTATGCAACCGCTATTACAACCCTGGTTCTGCCTCCTACCAAGCGGCCTACTTAGTAGCAATATTCGGAACCGTGAGCCATAATACTGCGGAACTACCTATATTATGGTCCTCGCTCCTTGCATGGTTGTTGTACGGGGTACTTCACATAGACCTGAAAATGTTGTTGGTCATTATTTAGGTCACATGTTGTGGTAGATTTCCAGGTCGGAGTTTATGAACATTATCCTTATAGTCAGTCCGTACAAGGATTCCGATGGTCCCGTTCTGGAAACAGCGAGCCGCGCTTCAAAATGCTTCCCAACACAGGGTTCGTGAGTCATCTGATACGCATGAATGTTTCAGCGTTTGTTACATGCAACTTGTTTAATCAGTGTCTGGCTGGCGGAAGACTGTCTGGCGGGCTCAAAAACCCTAAGCCCTAAACCCCCAAACCCTAAACCCTAAACTCTAAACCCTAAACCCTAAATCGGGCAAGATCGCCGGTGGGTTTGATAGCAAGGC